CTGGATTTATTGCGAGTTGATAACAAGGAAACAAAATCATTCCGAGAAGAGAAGGATACATTTGCAGCAGTCCGTAACATATGAAAAATGTTTGAATGTACAGGTACAACCTGAAATTGGTAACACTATGGAAAAAAGAAATTTCATAAATATGATACATGACATTTTATAGTATTCAGATAACGTAAAAATTTAGAAAACTAGAAAACATAATTTAGCCATAAAACTTAACTGTGATTAATACACACTTGCTGTTGAGCTCTAATTGTTGACTGGAGTGTCTGCATTGTTTCTTCTCTCTGTGAACTAGCAATTGCTGTACATAGGGCCTTGTGCAAGAATGCTAAGGGAGTAAACACTTTCTAGGGTGTAACTGGGCTTCCTAGGCCCAGGGTAACAGGTATAAGCTGGCAAAAAGGGTAGCAGGTCAAGGGTTAACATCCCCAGCAATACTTTGAAAACCCTTAGATACCGCGAAAGGGTTCGACTTTAACAGTGTCTTGTAATGACTGACTGACTGACTGACTGAGTTTGGTTTTACGGCGCTTTTAGCAATATTCCAGCAATATCACGACAGGGGACACCAGAAATGAGTCTTGTAATGAGTCTCAATCACAAGGAAACGTGTCCAATACTCAGTCGATAGGGACGGTTTGTGGTCAGTATCAACAGGATCAGTTTCGAGTGGACGTTTTGTTTTTTAAGGGTTTTTCATAAGCCATTGTTAGTGTAATATGGTTCATCATCCGAGCTCCCAACCCACCACGGAGTATCACAAGGACATTGTTAAAAACAAGTGGGTCTCCGACTTGCAGCACCAAGGATACTCGGATGATATACTCAAGCAGAAAAACTAAAAGATTAATTTTCCACCAGATTGGCCCATGAGCCAGCGCTTTCAGGGCTTACGTCTCTAGGAAAAAACATACATGAAATTATGCATTTGAAAGTATAAGTTAAAAATAATTTGACCAAGCATGAAAAATCAAGTTACCATTGTTATCAATTTTAAGCAACACACAGTTGTAGCACATGACTTGGTGTGACCAGCCCATTGATTGAACCGAGCCCATTCAACCTACAGGCCCTAGTGTCTTTGCGAGGATTCAAGATTTTAAAAATATTGTTTTTGAGATGACCCCCGACTCGAAATGCTTCACAGCATTATGGCAAGGCCGGACACGTCGGTGTATCTCACCCGCCTGCTTTGCCGATCGCTACGCTACCATCGCATGCAATCGATTAAAACCAAATATAAACATAATCACGGATGATAGGCCTATCGAGCATCACTCATGACACCTACCAATTCTTTATTGTTATTCCAGCAAGTCGAAGACCCGATTTTGACTCTCAACTAAACGATCTTGAATCATTTGAGTTTTTTAAACATATTTAGAACTACTTGACAAAATAGGTGTATTTTTATGATTGGAATTTAAATTAGTAACTGCGATTGATAGTGGCTGTATCCTCAAAGTGATTAAAAGTATCGTGAAAATAATCTTTTTTCTGACTCTCTTTCGTTCCTTCAGGCTTTTAAAAATCTTTTTTGCAAACATGCACTTTTAATATAAATTATTTAATGATATAATGATCTTGCTACTGGCCAATACGACATCGTCCTCTGTTGGTTACCCAGCCATGTTGGAATCTCTCGTAACACAATGACTGATGTTGCTGCCAAGGCTGCACTCAAGAAACCTGTGACACAACTTCAATTCCATACTCCGATTACAAAGCTTCCATTAGATCGTACATCTCGTGATCTGATGCACAAGAAGTGGAACACTCAAGTTGGTCTGAATAAATTACATTAAATAAAACCCTATATTGGTTACACCTACTTGGGTTGTCAATCTAGATTTGAAGAGGTCATTATGCGACGATGTCGTATTAGCCACACTAGATATACGCATAAATACCTGTTAAAAGATTAAATTCCTCCGTGTTGTATCCCTTGTGGTGAAAGTATCACGGTCGAGCGTGTCACAGTATTGTTGTTTTTTTCATCACAGAAGATAAATATTCAATGTCAAAACAGTTCATTATCTTTTTTTACAATGTTAATTGTCAATTAATAATTGAATGTTCAAAGGAAATAAAATTATTTACATAAATTTTGAATAATATGTTTTGTAAATAAATAAATGGTATTTTAAACACGGTAGTATAAACTAGTAACTCAGATTGTTCGTGGCTGTGTCCTCAAAGGGGGTTAAAGTGTTGTAAACTTATTTTCCCCCCTGATAGGGTAAGTAAGTTCTAAAACTTTCAAAGTTAAATTTAAGCTTACAAGATTTTTGAACGTAGTATTTTTGTTCTTTTAAATTTCGGCTAAATTTTTCCTACAATCGCCAGGGGCTGAAGGGATGGTGTGAATCCAACTGGGGTCCATGCAGGTAGCAAAGGCACTGTAAATCTCCATGGTCCCTGGTATGGTGATCTACCTTCAGTTCTTGGCAATATATAGCCTGATATTGTGTTGTCCTCTATAGTTAAACTGTTTTAGAATTCATTACAGGTTTTACCTTTACGTTTCTATCTGTGATAATCTAGTTTTTAATTCTATTCATTATCAAGGAAAAGCGTTTTAAGTCACGATATGGCTGAAATATTGCCGATGTGCCTATAAATCTTCACCCACTCACTCACTAAAGTATCGTGAAATCATTGCCCCCCTGAAAGGGTGCGTAAGTCCCAAAACGTTCAAAGTAAATTCAATATCACCACTTGATTAATAGCAGCATGTATGTACTTTTAATGTGTGACTAGAGTCGTCTAAGCTGCTAACAACTGAACAGATGGTTTAAACCCATACTGTAAGTCCCCACGGTCCCTAGTATGGTGAACTGCCTTTAGGTGTTGGCGATATATAACCTGTTTCTATTTTGTCTTCTGTGATTAAAATATGTTAGATTTACATGCTAGTTGTATATTCATTTCTGTCATATTCTAGCCTATTTTACTGTATTTCACCCCATCTCTCAGATACTCATGAATATGTATTAAAATGTGAGGATCCTACTTGGCTGTACTGATTTTCCATCACAAGTTATAACTGTTTAAAATCTTAAACTATGAAGGATCTTTTTAATGGTGTAAGTTCTCATTTAGTTATTTTTTCAAACGAATTGATCTGATTGACAAATGTTAATGTATATCTTGATATTTAATAGATAGGTAATACATGCATCAGCAGAACCCAAGATAGGTGCAACTTAGGTAAGGTCTTGTGCATGTCTTCTCGACTTACAAGAAAATTGGTTCAGACATGAAATATATTTAATGCAAACCAAGCTTCTCACTGATGCATTATCGCCATCTTGTTGAGGGTGATCAGTCTTGAGGCCAGACATAGTATGCGTATGTGTAGACGTATCTCACAGATGTGAATGACGTCTGTACATATTAACTGTGCCCAGTGTTTATTGTATTGTAATTAGCGATGGAAGTACTTACCATGTTCAAACTTTATTTCTCCACTGAGGGAGAGTGTTACGTGGTAGTGTCCTCCACTGTGATACAATGTTTCAAGTGTAATACATTGTACCTGTTAATATTCAGTTGTTGACAATGGTGTGTTCTATATTTAGTCATTTGCTATATGTACGTAAATCCCAAAACTTTCAAAGTAAATTTCAAACTTACCAGGATTTTAAGCGTAGAATTCTTCTGATTTTAATTATGCCCAAATTTGACTACCATCGCCGGCTGCTGAGGGGATGGTGTAAATCCATCTAGGGTCCATGTAGGTAGCAAAGGTACTGTAAGTCCCCCTGGTCCCAAGTAGGGTGATCAATCGTCAGTTGCTGGTGATCTATAGCCCGTTCTTACTGTTGTCTCTCGTGATATATTTTTATGATAGCGTACTAGTTTTAAATTAAAAGATGTGATATTCTAGTAGTTTTACTGTCTTTCGATGACAGGTTATTATGTTATTCATTGATTGATTTGAATATTGTTCTCGTCACGATATGGCAGCAATACTGCCGATGTGACGTTAAGTTTTAACTCACTCACTCAATCATTTGCTATATTTGGAGAGTGATCTAGTCACTGTACAATTACCTTTGTCATGGGTTATCACAGTACAATACAACTCATACAATGGGAGTTCACAAACAAATAGTACATAACGCTGAAGAACTTGATATACATCAATAAATCAGGCCAAATCAACATTTTCGCTGACGCACTATCAGGGTATTCCTTTTTTTGAGTGCAGACATAGTATGCATATGTGTAGACGTATCTCGTAGCCTGTAAGGAGCAACTACGCACAGCAGGTTTGGTTGTGTACAGTACTTTTACACGCTTGTTGGGAACCTTTGACATAATTACCTTTCTCGTGAATAATTATAGAAAGATATCGAGTATACAAAGAAACAGTAGACAACATTGAATCACTTGATATTTATCATAATTGTCATATAAACCTTGTACCGTCCCAGTGAAACACTTATCCTGTTGTACGAAAAGACGTTAAAATATGGTACTTGTTGGTCCATGCCTGGCGCTCGGCATTAATGGGTCCAACAAGGACTAGTCGGCTTGGAGTCAGAATGATGTGTCTGAGTGGGGTATTCTTGCTTAACTGCGGCATGGTATTTCAGTGGGCTAGCACTATAAAACCAGCTTAAGTCTGGGCTAGTACAAGCAGCCGCACATACACAAACCCACGCATGCACGTCGTCATATGAGCGAAATATTCTCAAGCACGACATAAATCCCAATTTCACCTCACCGCACCTATCCTGTTGTGCCATGATCAAACCGCCGTTCTAACAAAGGGCGTTGTGTGATATACTGCACCTTTAACCTTGTACCTTCCATCTTTCCTCCAAGATGTGTACAGAGTTTAACATTGTGTTACAGTTCCATCACTGTGTGACCTCCATACCGCCTCAAAGACCGGGGACCTGTCAAAGGTGAAGTTAATATTGTCACAGGGACAGGCGGATATAAATTGTCAAGAATGGATTGGCAGAACACCGGTGATGTGGGCAGCCATTGGGGGACATAGAGAAGTGGTGGAGTTACTTGTAAGTAAAGGGGCTAATGTATCACTGGTCGATAAATACGACATCAACATCCTTCACTCAGCCTGTATTGGAGGACACGTCGAGGTGGTCAAGTATGTCCTCTCACAGAACATGTTGGACATCAATGGTAGAGTACGGTGCGAACGAACACCCGTGTTGCTGGCAGCAGAGAACGGGAAAAAAGACATGGTCGAGTTTCTTGTAGGTAAAGGAGCTAACTTGAAAACACTCGATGGAAAGGATAACAACATCCTTCACTGTGCCTGTCGGGGAGGAGATATAGAGTTGGTGAAGTATATCCTCTCTCTGGACATGTATAACATAGATACTGAACAGAGCGGACTGTCAGCAGTGATGATAGCAGCAAAATGGGGACACAAAGAAGTGGTGGAATTACTCGTACAACTTGGAGCTTCTTTGTCAAAGATAGCTTCCAGCAAAGACAACATCCTTCACCTGCCCTGTTACAGAGGACATCTCGATGTAATGAAATATCTCCTCTCACTGAATGTGTGGGACATCAACAAGAAGGGATGGAACTTTCGGACACCAGTAATGACAGCGGCAGCAAGGGGACATAAAGAAGTGGTGGAATTACTTGTAAAACATGGAGCTGTTCTGACATTCAAGGAAAGATCCGGTAACAACATCCTTTACTTGGCCTCTAACTCCGGTAACGTGGATTTGGTGAAATATGTCATCTCACTGAATGCGGTGGACATAAACAGTAGAGGCTGGAGGAATAAGACAGCACTAATGGAAGCAGGAGGAAAGGGATTTAAGGCAGTGGTGGAATTACTCGTAAATCATGGAGCTGATGTGTCACTCAAAGATGAAGGCGGTAAAAACCTTCGTTATTACGCCAGAGGAAGTAGGGAGATAATGGCATATCTTAAGTCACTTCGTAATTTGAAAAACCTACGCTGAGAACTAAAAGCGATCGACAGTCCGCAGCCAGGAAAACAAGTCGACAACGAAGGCAACAACGACGAAAACAACGATACCATTTGGACGTTCTTGTGACAGTGATACACACAGACACACACTGACACACACAGACACACGGACATGCATAAACAAAGAACACACATCACTTCGATTTGACATTAACCACCCTAGAACATTTCACTCTGCATACACACTTGAATGCATATGCCCATGTCACAGACATAAACTGATGGCTCTGATAACTTCACATTTCACAAGTGGATTATAGTGACATAAGTTTACATAGAACTGAATATTGAGTTGTGGATGTAAAACAGTCACTCTTTACTCAGTGTCACCTGCAACTCACTTTTTACTCAGTGTCACCTGCAACTCACTCTTTACTCAGTGTCACCCGTAACTCACTTTTTACTCGGTGTCACCTGCAACTCACTCTTTACTCAGTGTCACCCGTAACTCACTCTTTACTCAGTGTCACCCGTAACTCACTCTTTACCCAGTGTCACCTGCAATTCACTCTTTACTCAGTGTCACCTGTAACTCACTCTTTACTCAGCGTCACCTGTAACTCACTCTTTACTCAGTGTCACCTGTAACTCTGCAAACACACTGACACATGACATACACACACTGGCACATGACATACACACACTGGCACATGTCATACATATACACACTGTCACGACATACAGACACATGACATTCAGACACTCACTGACACGACATATAGACACACACTGACACATGAAATACAGACACTCACTGACACGACATATAGACACACACTTACACGACATACATACGCACACTGACACGACATACAGACACAATGACACATGACATACAAACATACACTGACACATGACATACATGCACACACTGAAACGACATACCGACACATTGATACCCGACGTACAGACATACATTGACACATGACATACATACACTTACTGTCACGACATATGTCTTTTGGTTTTTTGTATCGGGTTTCAATGTCGACATAGTTTAAAGGTTTGTAAGTGCAAGGCGTATAACCCGCCTTCAGTACTTGGTTCATCAAATCATCCCGTGTTGTAGATCCGAGAGCGATGTTTACCTGGAATATCACCCACTATAATATATATATTTTCCAACAATATATCGAGTGTAAACTTAACGCTTATTAGATGAATATTATAAGGTACAAAATTCTTAGTGAGTGAAATGTTTTCATGCAAGGTTACAGTGCACCCCTCGAGACTTGTATATGAACGTGTTGCTGTCTTTATATAAATCGCACAACGTCGACGTTCATGGTTTTTGAGCCCCGTGATAATTACAACATCTGTCGGTGCATCTCTGAGCACAAATTTGATATAAAGTGAAGATAATGGTGGTATCGTGTCACATTTTCGAATTCAGCAACCAACTGTAAACTAGTATTTTGGAGCGCCGGCCAACTTGCGTACTTATGACCTTGTTTATCCGGTATTGGACTAATAACAACTCGTTTTCTTTGCGCTGAGACGTATAGTAACACTATTTATGATTATATTTAAATGATCCTTTTTCATTGTAACCACAAAGGGGTAAACAATCGACGTGGGGTGATCTAGACCATCAACGGGAATGGCAACCATTACCCATTTATCATTGTCGATACGGACGAGTGTCTTTTAAAATACCCCCGACATCGATTAAATCTCCTTGTTTACCACTTGATGTTGTAGCCTCATTTTGCTTGTAAACGTTGTCTTTTAAGTGTAAGGCACATAACTTGCCTTCAACAGCGGCTTCGTCGAACTTTTCGTCTTTCGCAGCAACTCTTTCCAGAATCGAAGGACATTCGCCTTGAATATTATCTGTCGTGTTCATCTGCTGGCGATGACTGCATAGCTGAACAGAACAATATGATACAGAACAATATCCGGTAATTTGGACCCCGTCAGGGTTGAGCGGTGTAATAATTCATTCGAAGTTAACCCGAGTGTTCTCGCTAAGGGGCTTACAGAGTCTTAAATGATGTTTTCCACTGGTTAATGTAAACGTTCTATTCGACTCTTTCTTGGAGTTGACTATCGAGTATGTGTCCAATCAACTATTTAGTCAAGGCATGAAGGTCTACCAACAGTGGGACGAGATAAACTATAAACTACCTTGCTGATGTGAAGATTGGTGAGTATCTGAAGAACAAGTACGCGCTGTGGCTGGACATGCGGCCTACGGGAGGCGATCAACTTCGCGACAGAGCGATAACGGCAGCGACTCGAAAACAGAAGTGAGGGGATCACCAAGAAGCTTCAAGCGGCCGGTACATTAAACCTATATTTGTACGAAAGTATGGATATTGTCCAGTAGAAATCGACATGACATTTAGTATAACAACCAAATTATTCACAGGTTCATGTGATGCTGAGTAAAAAGACCCAACCAAAATCAACCTAGGGCAGAAACAGTTATTACCACTTTAAATTTACCTCAGATTCCTTCAATATAACATCAGTTGTATGACTAAGATCATCTGAGTTATCGCCCTTCATAGCAACAGCCAAAATCATTCCATGGGCTCCATTCCTTCTCATTTAATTAAACCTATTATTCACTCCTTTCCTCTGTCCTTTCCATCCATTTCCATCCATTCCATTCCGTCCATTCCATCCATTTCAGATGTCCATCCCTCCCTCCATTCCGGCTGTCCACTGTCCATGTTCCATTCCATTATTCCATATTTCCTATTGTTCGTCCATCCTTTCGTCCATCCATAATTTATATGTCCATATCCTTTCCTTTCCGTTCCGTCCATTTCGTGTCCATCATCCCTGTCCTTCCATTCCGTTATTCATTTCCGTTTCCCATTTCTTTCCTTCCTGTTTTTCTTCCATATTTTCGGTCCTTCATTCCTTCCTTCCACCATTTCTTGATTCTCTTTCTTCCTCCTTCCATTGTTTCTTCCTTTTCATTCCGTTTTCGTTCCACCTGTGTGCCTCCTTTTTCTTCCACCACTGTGCGTCCATACTGTTCTGTGTGCTTCATGTGCGTCCATTCTGTTTCCTGCTTTCCCTTACCAACATATTGCTTCTCCTTAACAACATACTGCATCCCCTTACCAACATTCTGTTTACTGTTTCTCCTTACCAACATACTGCATCCTCTTACCAACATACTGTTTACTGCTTCCCCTTACCAACATACTGCATCCTCTTACCAACATAATGTTTACTGCTTCCCCTTACCAACATACTGTTTACTGCTTCCCCTTACCAACATGCTATCTAATGCTTACCTTTACCACCATACTGCTTCCCCTTACCAACATATTGTTTACTGCTTCCCCTTTCCATCATACTGTTTACTGCTTACCCTTACCAACATGCTATCTACTGCCTACCCTTATCACCATACTGCTTCCCCTTACCAACATACTGTTAACTGCTTCCCCTTACCATCATACTGTTTACTGCTTACCCTTACCATCATACTGTTTACTGCTTCCCCTAACCAACATACTGTTTACTGCTTCCCCTTACCAACATATTGCTTCCCCTTACCAACATACTGCATCCCCTTACCAACATTCTGTTTACAGCTTCTCCTACCAACATTCTGCTTACCCTTACCAACATAATATTTACTGCTTCCCCTTACCGACATACTGCATCCTCTTACCAACATACTGTTTACTGCTTCCCTTACCAACATACTGTTTACTGCTTCCCCTTACCACCGACATATTGCTTCACCTTACCAACATACTGTTTACTGCATCCCCTTACCAACATACTGTTTACTGCTTCCCTCTTACCAACATTCTGGTTACTGCTTCCCCTTACCAACATACTGCTTACTCTTACCAACATACTGTTTACTGCTTCCCCTCACCAACATGCTGCTCACTACTTTCCCTTACCAACATTCTGTTTACTGCTTCCCCTTACCAACATATGTTTACTGCTTCCCCTTACCAACATACTGCTTCCCCTTACCAACATTCTGTTTACTGCTTCTCCTTACCAACATACTGCTTACTCTTACCAACATACTGTTTACTGCTTCCCCTTACCAACATACTGCTTCCCCTTACCAACATTCTGGTTACTGCTTCCCCTTACCAACATACTGCTTACTCTTACCAACATACTGTTTACTGCTTCCCCTCACCAACATGCTGCTCACTACTTTCCCTTACCAACATACTGTTTACTGCTTCCCCTTACCAACATAATGTTTACTGCTTCCCCTTACCAACATACTGCATCACCTTACCAACATTCTGTTTACTGCTTCCCCTTACCAACATACTGCTTACTCTTACCAACATACTGTTTACTGCTTCCCCTTACCAACATCCTGTTTACTGCTTCCCCTCACCAACATGCTGTTCACTGCTTTCCCTTACCAACATGCTGTTTACTGCTTCCCCTTACCAACATCCTGTTTACTGCTTCCCCTTACCAACATACTGCATCCTCTTACCAACATACTGTTTACTGCTTCCCCTTACCAACATACTGTTTACTGCTTCCCCTTACCAACATACTGCATCCTCTTACCAACATACTGTTTACTGCTTCCCCTTACCAACATACTGCTTCCCCTTACCAACATACTGCATCCTCTTACCAACATACTGTTTACTTCTTCCCCTTACCAACATACTGTTTACTGCTTCCCCTTACCAACATACTGCTTCCCCTTACCAACATACTGTTTACTGCTTCTCCTTACCAACATACTGCTTACTCTTACCAACATAATGTTTACTGCTTCCCCTTACCAACATACTGTTTACTGCTTTGCTACCAACATACTGTTTACTGCATCCCCTTACCAACATTCTGTTTACTGCTTCCTTACCAACATACATTTTACTGCTTCTCTTACCAACATACTGCTTACTACCTTTCCCCAACACACACTGTTTACTGCTGCTTACCAACACCTTAACATACATACTGCATCCCTCACCAACATACTGTTTACTGCTTCCCTTACCAACATAC